TTTACCTAGGGATTTTTGTTGGTGCCAACGTTATCCCCTCCCTTTTTATGGAAAATGTCTTGTAACCACTGGACGCGGTGCAACCTGTCGGTTTCCATGGCGGACGATTGCTCGAATCCATGCGGATGGGCTTTGAAATAGTCGCGCGTGTTTATTCTATTTTCATGCTGCGAATTCGTAATTACCGCTCGATCGACTTAACCTCGCTGAATTTTTCACGCGTACACAGGCTAGGAAAAAGAGAATTAGAACGCTCCCAGCTGGGTGAAGAAAATTGGTAAAATAATCTAAATAATATCGAAAGAATCTAACACTGGAGATTGTACTTGCAAATGTGTTAATATCTCCACAAATTCGACTTTTCTCAATTTTAGGAAAGGTAGGAGAAATAGTCGCGCACGTTGACAGGGGCGAGACATCGCTGAAGAAACGTATCCCGGACGAGATAACGTCTCGAATGACCGGTTAATTGAATGCATCCGAAAGGTCTCAAGGCGGTGGTGTGTTGCGGAAAATCGAGAAAATGTTTAAGAAGTGCGTGCCGCCTAGTAAAGTAAAAGGAATATTTTGAACAGTGGGGCATATTTGAACAATTTAAATATATTTTATGATGGAAAGCGCTCAGTGCTTTTCCCCACAAGAATACAGGAATGTTAGCTTCAACAAATATCGGAAATGCTGAGGTTTCCATCGTAACGTGGACGCTGCTTAAATATTCGTTGTTAAATTGTGCTCGGAATGTCGCTTAACTTATACATACCAATTTTCGTTAGATTCGACGAGAAGGACAGCGTTTCCGGCGTTCAGCAATTGAAGTCGTCCGTGCAGAAGGGAATCCGTGCGAAGCTCCTGGAGCTGTATCCTCATCTGGAGAGCCACATAGACGTTATAATACCAAAGAAAGACGCCTTTCGCATTGTGAAATGGTGAGTTGAAGCTGGGACCAGGGTGTGGCGAACGAGGCATTTGCCTCGTGTAAAAGATTCGTAAGGAGGCAAAGATGATGCAAAGAACCCCGCACTAATCATATAGGGAATTGGATCTTGGTTAAATTGGCTAGTTTTCACGTATGTTGTAGCTTATGACCTGCTGAACAAAAAATATAATGGGCTCGAACTTAAATAATGGCTAGTTACTGAGCTACAGCCAGTCAAACAGGGAAAATTTGGACTCCGCGGGTCTTGTTTGGAAAAAATGTTTCAGACAAAAGTTGTTTGGTTCGAAATAAGACTATATTTCATTATAGTGTCTTTGAAAAACTCTTGACATAAAAATGTGCAATGAAAAATAGGGGTGTCCATTTAAGAAATTGAAGTTGACCCTCATGTGACCTTCAAATGATTATCCAAATGATTATCAAATTAATGGCATCGTCTTGTCTCCCTTCGAACCAAACAACTTTTGTCTGAAACATTTTTTCCTAATATGCTTCAAAGTATTTCCAGACAAGACCCGCGGAGCCCAAATTTTCTATGTTTGACTGGCTGTAGCCCAGTAACTAGCCATTATTTAATTAAGTTTGAGCCCATTACATTTTTTGTTCAGCAGGTCATAAGCTACAACATATGTGTAAACTAGCCAATTTAACCGAGATCCATTTCCTATATGATTAGTGCGGGGTTCTTTTGATGTTTACTTGTATACACGATGATTAGATGTTCCGATAAAATTAATATTAATATATTAAACATAACTGATTAAAATGATTGTTATTGTATTTTATATGTCGTAAAGGAAATATTTTTTGGTTACTAAGTGGCGCACTGTTTTCTCAGGCCTCGGGCGTCAAAATGTTTACTCCCGTCTCAGAGTTACCGTATGCAGGTTCATTCGCAATTTAACATTTAATTTTTCCTTCGTCAGCCACGACCATATAGAGATCATAGTGAACGCAGCGGGAGACCTGTTATTCTTTCGCCATCGTGAGGGTCCCTGGATGCCTACTTTGAAATTGTTACACAAGTGTAAGCTCCCTCGTTGACTGATTGAATAAGAAGTGGGAAGAAAATTGTCTAAAATTTCGTCGCGACACATTGCATTTTCAGATCCATTCTTTTTGCCGATGCAACAAGTCGACAAGGGTGCCATTAGGTTTGTTCTTAGCGGCGCCAACATAATGTGCCCCGGCTTGACGTCAAAGGGTGCCAAGATGATGACCGTGGACAAGAAGACGGTAGTCGTATCCTTTTAGGCACGGTACAATCTCGTAAAGAGCGCGATGCATTTGAACAGTTTTATTTCTTCGATAATGAGATACAAATCCTTGACTCGAACTGCAGGCTGTTATGGCTGAGGGCAAGCAACATGCGTTGGCTGTTGGAATTACAACATTATCAACGGAAGACATGTAAGTCGACATGATTACATTGACGATTACGTTTTCAATGTCGTTCTGCATATCTTATTTCTAATCTCTAGCATCAAGGTGAACAAGGGAGTAGGCATCGAGAACTGTCATTACTTGAACGACGGGCTCTGGCAGATGAAACCAGTGAAGTAAGACTGATTGTACCTTGGATCCAGGATCGAAGAACCATTCTACAGACGTTCTTTTATCCACTTTTACTTCGCCACGCAATTGATTTCACGTGAAGCAGTACAATTTCTGGACAAGTTTTGTGTCCGCAGTGTTACAGTGATCATGATGAAACTAAAATTCTTATATTTTTATCGTATAAATTAAAGAGTTACGCCTAATGGGTCCTGCTGGCGCAAGGATACAGAGATAAACGGTCATAGACACGCCATTTCAAGTGGAAATCCCAGTATAGTGTTTGTAAAATAAAGAATATTTAAGCGGCTCCCGACTTGGCGTCTACCTGGCCCTCTTGATTCTCCGACGGACCGGCGCGCTCGCCCTCGCAGTGCCCCGTGGGCGCGGGATACGGGGCGGGATTGTTGGCCTCGGGCGCGGGCACGGAAGCCACGGCGGCCGTTGCGCCGCCCGGGACGTTCGCGCCGACGTTGTTGTTTTCAGGCGCGACCGTATGCGGCGACTGCGGATGATAGTGCGGGCTGTGCGGACTGTGCGGCCCGTGGCCGTGGGGTCGACCCATCGGATGGGGCGAGTATTGCGAGTACGGCTGATGATAGTACGGATGACTGTATTGCGGATAAGGTTGATGATACGGCTGCTGCTGCGAGTAACTGTAAGAGGGATGCGGCGGTCTCGGAGCCAGCGGAACGTTCTGCGGCTGCTGCGGCCCCGGCCCGGATTGATACTGCTGGCCGTAGGCCTGATTGGGCGGCATCATTTGCGGGGTGTGCGGATTCGCCACCGGCCCCTGCGGCGGCAGAACCTGCGTGCTCTGGGTACCTTGCGCGCTCTGGTGCGGCGGCATCGAATGAGTATTCGGCAGCATTCCCTGCTGGTGGGGATTGTGTTGAATGGGCACCGCGGGAGCAGACACCGGCGGCATGTTCGGCGGAGCGGAATTCGCGGTTGCGTTTGCACTCGCGACCACCGCCGCGACCGCAGCCGCCGCCGCGGCTGTCGTGGTCGGTTGTTGAGGTGACATTACTGGAGGCGCTGGTGGCTGCTGCTGCTGCTGCTGCTGCGGCTGCGGTTGTGGCGGCGGCAGCGGCAGCGGTTGTTGTTGTTGTTGCTGCTGCTGTTGTTGCTGTGGTGGTGGTTGCTGCTGCTGCTGTTGTTGCTGTTGTTGCAATTGCGGTGGCTGCTGTTGTGGTTGCGGCATTACTGGATGTAGTTGGGGCGGTGGTGGTTGATGCTGCTGCGGTGGCTGTGGCAGCGGTTGATGCTGCTGCGGCAGAAGTGGAGGAAGCTGATGTGGTTGCTGCTGGGGAGGTTGATGCTGCTGCTGTTGCTGCTGCTGCTGCTGAGGAGGCTGATGCTGTTGCTGAGGGGGCCCTGACTGATGCTGAAGCAGCGGCGGCGGTGGCGGATGTTGGGGCGTTTGCGTCTGCTGCTGATGCGGATGTTGTTGGATCGACGAATTGACGCTATTGCAGTACATCCCGGGGTTGGTCGAGTGTTGTTGATTAGGGTTCGTTTGCACCGCTGATGGTGCCTCGATCTTACTCTCGGTATAAGGGGGCGACATTTTCTTCATCTCGACATTAGGTTTCTCGACGTTAATAGACTTCTTCTCGGTCGAATCGTTGTCAGATATCTACACACACAAACGGGATGGTGTTAATACTTCTTTGTACAAGGCTTTGGTAGTGTTAAAATCTGTGTGAACGTTGTAATAATATTACATCGGGCTGGCCCTCATCATTAAGTGACGCAGGAGTTGGAGTTGGAGTAGAGTTCGGAGTAGATTCGCTAGAGGCTGGCCCATCCGAACGGCTCTCCTCCGTCCCTTTCAATCTCTCTCGTCTGAGAGCTTCATACTGCCGTTCTACCATTTTGTTGAATGTCTCCTCGTCTACCGCTGGTTTGCAGTGCTGAAGAAAAAGCAGATCATATTACCTGCGATATTATTAATGAAAAAAAAGATCTTGTACCTTTTTCAATTCTTCTTGAAATATTTCACTAGTCTCTATGAATTTACGTTTCTTGGCTTCAAATTTCTCTTCAATTTGTTGCAATTCAGCTTCTAGTTTTTTCTGCAATATTCAAAATACATATTTTAATATATTATATAAAAAAAAAATATATATATAAGTTAATTACCTGATGCATAGTTAGGGACTGTACTTGGCGGCGCAATACTTGCATTCTTTGAGTAGTAACTACAGAGCGAACATCTGGGACAACAGTGTCGCTAAAAATCTCGTTAATGAGTCGATGATTTCTCGTGTAACGTGAATATGCCACATGTTTCACAGAATAGCCGTCATCTTGATCTATCAATCAAATGCAAGATTACTATTGTAACAGAAATATACGTACTTAATAAATATCCGCAATCACTGTTATTTACGTACCATCGTCGTCTTCGGCTGGCAAAATATCGATCCTTCTATCTTGAGCTGCTTGGCTTTTGCTACTGCCGGATGAACGTTCGTGACTCTCTCGATCATCATTGCTTTGTTGTGCTGCGCACAAAGCTGCGTAAAAAAAAGAGAATTGTAATGTTAGAAAACGCCACCACAGTTTTTACGAGTCTTAAAACTGCCCCATACAGCACAGAAAGATTGCAGGAATGTTACATTGCAAGATTGCAATATTGCTGCAACGCTTCTGGAGGATTGCAGCAACTGAAATGTCCGCCCTCAGAGAGATTGCAGTGCAACATTATAACAATGTTGCGGTACAATATTTTTGTAATAATTTGTTGTTGTACATAAGCAGAGAATTAACTAATTACATATGCATCCGGGCCTTTTTCAATACACAGCAAGCTATTGCGAAGCAACCTAAGGAGATTATGTCGCTTCGCAATAGATGGAGATTGCGAGCAACACCGCACTGATCAAGTACTCAATAATTCGCGCATTATTGGTATAAACGGAAATAACATTATAAAATTCTCATAATTAGAAAAATTTTTTAAATAGAAAATATAGTATTTTTATTATTTTTGAAACATTGCTGCAACATTGCTATCGAAAGTTTGCAATTTTATATCCCTGCAATGTCTCTGCAAGATTGCAACGTTTCTGCAATGTAACTGCAACCATCTGTGCCGTATGGAATGTGTTCGTTGCACCTACCAGACTTGCCACGATTCTTAGCCGCGATATAAGCCAGATATGCAGGCGAGTTGTGATAAGTTTTCAAGCTCTTCTCATACTCCACCTGTGTCAAACGAATACGCATGAACGAGTCAGTAGACTATAGAATTGTAAGAATACAATGCATTTGCTGCGATACAATTTATGCACCTTCTCAGCCTCGTATTCCTCGATAAACTCCGTCTTATCCTCCTCTGGCAAGTCCCGCCACATCTGCCCAATAATCTTACCGATCTCCCATAACTTCAACTCGGGATTCTGAGCTTTAACCTGATCCCATACCTTCCTGCTGTACCTCATATACGGCATAAGGGGTTTCTCTGGTGGCTTGGGTGGTTTTGGCATACGAGAGTCGGCCTAGTTATAAAAATTGTCAGACATTAAACAAAATCAAACACTCTCTCACCAGGTAGCAGCGCAAATTGTTATACTCAGGCAATATTGAGTCTTACATAAAATCAGATACGTACATTGGTGTTCTTTCCAACTTTCTGAGGCGTGAATCCCGGATGACTGTGGGGAGTTTGTACAAACGGGCTCTGGGCATCTTTCTAAAGCACAGACAGATTGCTCCAATTAGACTCGAGTCCCCAGCGAACAATATTTCATTACGACTACTCGTCTACTTACACTGTTCGTCGAGCTGCTCGAGCTCCCACCGGACGCTCTCATACGCTCTGCGCACAGAATATTACAGTATAAATACACCAGCATTGTGAGCTCCGAGTCACAAGTTGCTTCTCAGCAAGAGACACAGCTTGACAGTGTAACACGGAGAATCATTTCATCCTCGTTTAACGGCAGGCAACAGAGACAAAAGGACTCGCTGCGTTACAACGTGTCCCCTGTACTGTACGTTGCTGAAAAGCATCCAGAGAGGAGAGAGGAGGAATCAAGGTGTACTCACGGTTGGAGGCTACGATGTTCGACGTAGCTATCGCGACTTGCTTGTAATTCGCTGGTAGTGCCATTTTGTATTACGACGTTCGCGCGGGCCGCTTCGCTGGGAGAACCGACCGGGAAGACGCTCCACGAGGTGTTCCTGACGTCGGCGCTGCCGCGGTCGGGGCCTCTTTCGATCTCGGGGAAGACTCGGAGACACTGCGCGATTATTTTAAACTCTCGGTACGTTCGATGGGCGCGTCGCGACGCGCGGTGAGCTCGGTCCTCGACGCCGGGGCTGAGTCTCCGCGGGGGTAGCTTCGAGCCTGCGACTCGCGACGGTACGCGCGAATATCCCGACACTCCCGCGAAAGAACGGGACCTCGCGGCGAGGGAAAGGAGGCAGAAGCCCTGTTTTTTTTTTCGCTTTCCTCCCGTGAACACCGCGTAGTCCTCTCGCGCTACTTGCATCCGTGGACTTCGCCTCCCATTGGAGCCGGAGAGCCGGCTTCAGAGGGGCGAGTCGACCAATGGCCGGGCGGATTCGATCGCCCGGCTCGGTTTCTTATCTCGAGCGTCATTGGTTAGTGTCGCGCCGAGAGCCCCGACGCGCCTCTTCTAGAGTGCGTGATCCACGGCAGTGCCGGGGACGCTTTCTTGCGCATGCGTGGTTCCAACGAAGTAGCGCATTTGAAGGAAATAAGGTATCACCAAGGGTGCCCTACTAATAATAACAAAAAAACTACGTAAACACCTCGTACCGGCTCTAATTGCACTGTCTATTGCACCGTGTAGTTTAAGGTAGTTCGATCGCGACAGTAATGCTAAAAAGGTTATTCCAGACAGGAACCAGCACTCAATTATTACAATAATATATCTTGAGGCAATATTGTTCTAAAGAATACACTTACTATTAATACATAATATAAAATAGATTCAAAAGATTATAGTTGATCTGACTTTAAGTTTTCCCGTGTAAAAAATCACCACAAACGAAAACTTTTGGAAATGTACAGTTCTGCAACTTAAAAGTGTCACGTATACCGACAGATTTTTATAACCTACGTTTCCACCTGTTTAACAGCGTGACAAATAGTGTAAAAGTGTTGTCAGCGTGTAAGCTTTTGACATCAAATTTTGAAACATTAGGTTCGTGCGCCTTATACAGTAAAACGTCCCACATCTGCGCTTCCCACATCTGCGCGCGTCCCATATCTTCGCTAGTTTCCGTCCCACATCTTCGCGTTTTCAAAAGGTAGCTCCCCCACCACCGCCGCTTTCTGACGCAGATGTTGGGTCAGTTCCGGTCCCGACCGGCGCAGATGTGGGACGTTTTACTGTATCTTGTCAGCCATACGGCTGAAGTTTGAGACGCTGTTGCCACATCTCTTAAGCCCGTGTCCCACTACGTATTGCGGACGCGGATTGGATTGAAATTTAACCAATCACAGTAAAGTTTACTAATCTTAAGTTCAGTAACTTTTACTCTGATTGGTCAAACGCTACACTCATGTCTACTACGTAATTCTTCCCATTTCTCAGTTTTAACTGTTTATATTGTTGAAACGAAACGGTCAATAATTTTGATTTTTTTTACAGTTATTCGTTCTATTTTACTTTATAACATATTTGTTTCTCATACGAATCTCACTCATCGTTAAGCTTTAAAAAAATAAAATGTGCCACCATTTGCGTTTGCAAATGCAAATATTAATATTTTAAAACATAATAATATGTGTAAATAATATTTCACATGTAATAATATCACAACGAATTATATTGTTACATGTAATAATATTTTTAACGTGTTTTACACGTAATATTTCGTGTGATATAGTAAAGTTTAACAATTTTTTTTAGAACTTTGAGACGGTCAATTTTAATTTAATTAGTCTTATTTTGCACGTATTTATGTAAAGAATAAACTGTAAAAATTTGAAACAATTCTCACATAACTGATTTTACGAAAGAACTACCTTAAATTAATAATACATTGCACTTAAATAATGTAACCTAACCAACCTATCTCGCCCTGGATCTCGCCGAAACCTTAGCACCCATGCTACACGTGTCGTGTTACGATCCTGGAGTCACTGCTGGCCGCTGTGCGCATGCGCAAGAAAGCGTTTTCGTTCGCGCTATCGTCACTGTGCGTCGCTGCTGTTGGGGGATGCGAGAGGAAGAAAAGAGATTTGCGCGCTACTTTTATCTCCGTCTTGCACACAACACACACACACACGATATCCCGCTATCGTAGCGCACCTTGCGGCTGAAAATCGAAGTAGAACCGGGACGTTGAGTGAGATAACCCCCACCACCGGCGTTTCCAGACCTGTATGGTGCGTTAAGTGGTCATTTTTTGTCCCCACGTCACATGTTTATCTATTTTTATTTATTCTGCCGAATGTGATTCATTAACCTTGAGCAGGAGAAGGAATCAATACGATTGAAGTACATAATTAATGTGATTTAAGGCGGCTTCTGCACGAAGGAGCGGTTAGTATGGGTACTTTGGTGGGGCCCTTTTGATTTTTGTAAATTCACATGACTTCATAAAAAAGTATCACTTAATGCGTTATCGATCAAGTGCATTGATATGCTAGGTTATGTATGCACATTTGGAAACATTTAAAAATATGTGATGTCAAGTCTCAAAGAGCTGACAAATTCCCTCAAAACATTGTATCTTTTGACTTTACCAATAAGTATTTGCTTGCTGCACATTTGCACATGTGAATCCTTGTGACACTTATTGTGTTTCTCCCGTTTTTTTAAGATCTACTTTTTCTATAAAATAATATCAACCCTCGATTCTGCGAGCGGTCGGCTCCATAACCCCCGTCCCAGTGAACACCCAAGTAACAGTAGCGCAATATCAATATTTTATAATTTCCTGCTTAACAATGCGAGTGCAATATAACATGGGTGTTATATTACATTTATCTTGTCGAGTCCCAAGGAGAACAAAAAGTCAGGATGATGTCAATTTGATGTCATATTGACCAAATTTATGTCAAATTTTGGTCAATTTGATGCCATATTGACCAAGATTTGACATAAATTTGGTCAATATTACATCAAATCGATATCATCCTGACTTTTTGTTCTCCTTGGGGTAGGAAATCATAATATTCATGTTACGTAACTGTTACTTGGCGTTTACTGGGATGTTAAAAGGTACAACTTTAATATTTTTTACCAAGAATATTCTTAAATGTGGCCAGCTGTAATTAGCAACTTCAGTGTTTTATCGATCGTATCTGGCAATTTTAATAATACAGACAATTTATCGCGAAAAATATTACCTCAGCCAGGTTTTGGACCTGGACCTTCCTACAAGCTAGGTGGGCGTCTCCTCGAAAGGTCATATTCCTCGGTGGTCGAATTGGCGAGACCCTGGGGGAGGCAATATTTTTCGCAATAAATTTTCTGTATTATTAAAATTGCCAGATACGGTCAGTAAAACACTGATGTCTTCAATTTTTTCCCTTTCTTTTATTCCATCGGCGACCGGGTCTGAAATTTCGCGTACTGCCAGATGAAACTTACAACTACAACACACTTAAATATGTAAATGAAAAGCGATACGAATAATGCAGGGGATCCCCGTGTCGAGGGTCACTGTTGCTCAAATTGGCGCGTTATAATTCTAGACTTTCGGCCGTCCACGTTTAATTTGAACTTTGCGTATGTATTTTTCAAATCGTTGGACTATTGGATTATTTAAAAGACCATATCCTTGACATATCGGTTCTAATAATGTCGGGGGATGCAAAACATTGTGTTTATGCAGAACCCAAGGACGTTGAAAAGTACGCTCCGTTTTACCTGGAGTCCTGGGAATCCAATACACTTTGTACCCGCGAGGAGCGTAAGCTTACATAGTCTAATAAAGTTCCTTTATTAAATTTGTACAATATCTTTCCGCGGCTGTTTTGCATAGGCAGTGCTTGGCACAATTGCGCGAAAAGGATTCTTACCTCTCTGCTCTACCCAAAGTCTTACTTTCATTCAAGGAATCCCCCTAATTGTATTCCGAGTCTAATGGTTAGTTATTCAATTTGCATACAATATGTCGTAGATCGGCTTCGGTAGGTAATGATTGCACAGTGCCTGGAGTCTTTCGCCGCGCGACACAGGTGTGTACCGCCGCATCGGGAAGGTTTTTACTACAGCGTCCATTAGAGTCCTCGTGACGGCGGTCAGATCGGCCTCCGGCCCCTGGGTGTACTTCTCCAGAGCCAGCATCTCCGCCTGAAACAGCCCCTGACCGTACTCCTTGCGGGTCTGGGGATCCAGTTGAGTCCACATGTCCCGGGCCTGCTCGAGCAGCGCGGTGTTGTCCTTGAGCCACGCGTTACCGGAAACGTACTCGCCGGTCTCGACGATCACAACGTCGACGCCCCACCGCCGCATCTCCAGTCTTAGACACGATCCCCAAGCTTCCACGGCGGCCTACAGACATATTTATAATCTTCTATCGGTCTACTCGAGCCTTATTAATGCCTTTTCCAGTCTTATGATTATATACACAGACAGACAACGTCACGCTTAGCTGTGCGCACGACGAAGACGGATTTACCTTAAGGGCACAATAGATGCCCCGGACGGGGCTCGGTATCCGCGCCAAGAGGCTGCTGACGAGAACGATTCGACCCTTCGATCTCCTGACCAGGGGAAGAAATACCTGTTACAGAGAGCGTCGCGCGTTATGCCGAGTTACGTATCTTTTGACATTTTTCTCACGCTTACGGTACCTGAGTTAAACGCGCTAGGCCAATGAGGTTGATGTCTATGCTTCGCTTGAGAACAGATGGGGGCACCCACTCGCATTCCCCGAGAGTCACCCAGGCGGCGGCATGCACGAGTGCCCACAATCCTGAAATAACGTAGCAACGATGACGTAGGGAATAATCCGTTACACTCATGCACGATAATCTTAGGGGAAGCTTTAAGAGATAAAGTGATATACCAGGAGCTCCGTCGGGCAAGTTTTCATTGACGTAGAGGAAGGTCGAGTGTATATCACGTTCGCTGGTGATGTCCAGTTGTAGCACGTGCAATCTTCCAGACGCGTGGTCCTTCAGCTTCTGCATGACATCCTCACTCTCGGCTTTATTGCTGAACCCAGCGAATACGGTGAAGCCCTTGAAACGAGAGAGATTATGGATCTTTAGGTTGTTCAATTAGTGACGCGAGTACGCGTTTCAGTATATACACTACCAAATCGTCCAACTGCTTAGCCAAGGCATATCCGACCCGCGAATCGCAACCTGTGATTAGTATTGCCTTTCCTGCTGCGGTAACCTGTTGCATCAAGTAGACAGTTAGGAAAATATAGTATTCACAACGTATTGAATCTCGATCCGATGTAACGAAGCTTCGCAACGCTTTCTCGATAATGAAGTCGCCGATCGAACGATAACGGTTTCCAAGTTCATTGTAAGAGGAAAAACTCGCGAGGCAGGAAGTACGGTGTGCAATGATAAGGTGCATTATGCAGCGTTACGCAAAAAAAGGTCAGAGGTCTCTCGACCAGGCCTGGTGTGAAAATTCGCAAGATTTCCGATATAAAGGGCCTTTGAACTTTCAAATGTCCACGTTGTATGACATTATGAAAGGTTGAAGAAGGACACATGATTTTGCCACTGTAGGAGTGCGATGCGTATCCCAATTTATCAGAGGTCAGAGTGTGTTGTTCTTTTATTTGGTCGTAACATTTGGAATGAAACTATTGGGGGGAGGGGGGGGGGGAAGAAACAGATAATACCGAGGGTATATTAGATAACGCAAATGTCTCACCTTCAGATTGTGATAGAACAATGTAGATCCTATAGATATGACCAATAGCAACAGGAAGAGTACAAAGCTGGATGTCTGTGAGATCCCAAAGGTGTTCAGTATAGTTGCCAGGATGACTGCAATCGCATGTGAAAATGCGATGGGTAGTAGACACCTCTCTGCCAATTCCCATGTCTGACTGTCGTCGGCCTCTTTGTTCCCGCTGGACGACGGCATTCTTGATCAAGATTTTACATCAAAATCCTAATCAAACGTGTGATCGGCTCCATTCGAACAAATTGGTGTAGCTCACGGAGGAGCCCTAACTGGGCTATGCCTGAGCTAACTTTAAACTTAAAACAGTGTCTAGTCTCATTGATCTAAATATAACTGCAGTGCTGTGTCTTCAAGATCAAAGCTCCTAGCAGACTGAAATATCTGAAATTCGAATTTATAGGCTTATTAATAATTAATATTTTATAGAATTATATATATATACAGGCGTTCCAATTTCCTATATAATATTACAATAGATAACACAAGAGTACAGTTACAGCAAAGAGAGAATTTGTTAAGTACGTTGGTTTAATTAGTCTAGATTAATGATTACATCAAAAATTATATAACACACAATTGTACGTAAAATTTAATATTACTGTAACGAATTTTGTGTTACACATTCTGCAAATATATTGTGACTTATTGGAACAACAAAAAGATTGCATACAAGTCTTTTTATCGTAACTCTCATCTCCTCTTTCGCGACATAATTATACTTATTTATACTTTTCGTATTAAAATGTCTGAAAATAAGTACAAAGGAATAAAAGGTTTAAATTTTTATTTGTATTGCGGCTCTAAATAAAACGCAATTTTCCATTCAGCTCGCAAATCATCTGAATGATATATATATGAATATCGCAGGATCGCTTTTATTCGGTTTTTTATTTTCAATCTCTCCCTATCTCTCTCTCTCTCTCCCCTCCGGTTTTCAGGGAACAGGATCGATTGACACGTGTCGTGAATTATCTCGTCAATCCGTGTATTTTGCATACCGTCCCTCTTGGGTGACGGTGCGGCACCGGGGATAGGTATTTTTGTAAATTTCTCGTCTCTCGGCGCTGATAAAAAATGAGCGCGGCTGCGGCCGCGGAGTGGGGTAGGTTATTGATTTCCGCGTAGGGGTGCCACGACTGCCACAGGCGGAGAGGGTTGGACGGGGGCAGAAGTGGGTGGGGTAGATGCTGTGTCGGGGTGTCTCTCGCTCGCGCGTATATACCTGCGAGAGAGTCTACAGGGGGTATAAATAGAAGGGGTAGTTGCACCGTTGACCCAGTGTTGGGTTGACACACGGTCAGTTCAGTCACTCGAGGCATCTCTCACACACACATCTCGCTCTCATTCCTTCTCTCATTCTGTCGCGTCGCCTCCGCCTTCCACTGATTTTTTTATCCGCGTGAATTGTTGAAGGTGAGAACGAGGAGGCCTCGCGCTCAAGTCTTGGCTGGATCCTCCGGGTCGATCCAACGCGATCCTCAGCACTGCCCTTTCATACCCGTTTGCCTCTTGCGAGCGACACGACTTCTTACCCGAGGAATCGTCGCGCGACACGACCGCGTCGTCCTGGTGCACCGTCGTCGAGGGAGGCACACTTCGACGCTAAAAGAAATAAGAAGCAGCGTTTGTACACACCGTATTGTTCATCGTCGTTGTGTTCGTTACATCTCTCGCGCGTAAGGGCGTATTCCCTTTCGTCCCCCTGTCACCGTCGGATGCGCGCGGGTCACTCGAATCTCCCTGACACATCGTCGAGGCACGGGCCAACTAATGTGCAACGAGAATCAGGCCTTAGCAGCAGTCAATTCTTTTCGGGGGAATAAACCCTCTCTGACTTAGACGGTCGCGCTCGTCGCTAGACTTCGGGGATCCCCAGGATCGCAACAGCGAGTCGAAAAAACCGGACTGAATCAGTCGCCAGCGGCCAGCGGAACCAAGACCCGTTCTCGTTTGTCCAGCGTGAAGAGGAAAGATGTCAGAGACAACCGTGGTCACGCAGGGGATGGGCAATCCTTACAAGATAGTCGACCATACTAGGGAGCGAAGAAAGGGCATCACCGCCTCGTCGCTCAAGGAGCTGACCAGCATCGCACGCAACCGGCTGGCATTGCCCGTGGACGCGGATCTGACGATTGTGCTCGAGCAGGATGGTAAGGGAACGTTCATGCTGCAACACACACACACCAGTTGTCAGTTCTAATATCTTCGGTATCGGATGTTTATGATAATTTGCTAAAAAAAAAAAAAATACATAACATAAAAATCTGTCATTAAAACTTGCGCTTTATAAGAAACGAAGCCGCACTTTCCACGTGCCGATACGTGTTACAGGAACGGAGGTGGATGACGAGGAGTATTTCGCCACGTTGGAAAGGAACACGAGCCTGATGGTGCTGCATGGTGATCAGAAATGGGTCGCTGTGGGCAGCAGCAAGACGGCCTCCCGTTACATCGTCGTGGACGACGTGGACAACGTGGAGGGTGGTTCAAGGGTCGACAAGATTCGACGACGGCGAACACCCATTGAGCCTCTGGTGTCGTCGCTGCACGGCGACCCGTCGCACATCTCGCTCCTGGGCGGAAACGACCTGGAATTACTCAGCGACATGGATCCTGACAGTTTAGCTGACATAGTGCCCGACAGGTAAGCGACGGACAATCGGGGTGGCTTTGGCCAAATTCGGATTAATGCGATTGGTAATTAAATCTCATTTAACAAAACATTACGAGTGTCGCTTGATAACTCATTGGTCAAACGAGTCAATCGGAGCATGATTAAAGTCATTTCCGCTATTTTAGACAATATCCTTTCTGTTATTGTCATCAACATTGCATCGTCCCGTGTGATATCCTGTCAAGTGATCGTCTCTGGGCAGCGTCGTTGATTTCCGCGTTTGTTCCAATTTTGCCACAGACTCTTCCTCGAGCAGCTTAAGGAGGCCTCAGGTCGATTCCTGGCGGAGAAGCGGCAGGCGCAAGAATCCATGGCTCTCCTCCAGATGTACGCGACCGGGGGTGAGATGGAGCGAGCGTAGGCCATGTGGGGGGTGGGCGCCCTCACTTTGGCAAATATGTATAGAGTGCGACGCCGCATATTCTATAAAGGTCGCCAACTGCAACAAACTCTGATTCTATTCTGGAATTGAGCCCATCTCGCTATTTACACAAACTGGTAAAGTAATTGAGAGCAGAAGCGTTAGTCGCTCGAGCCGAACACAGCCGCTGTAAATCTCACGTCAGCGATTAGAATTTCGTGTAATCTCTCTCTCGCGTTCTAAGAACACGGGGAAATAAAAGGGATAAAAACACTGTACAGAGACACGGAACATTAGTAGTTTACGTTCGCCCAATAATTTAGTACCGTAATAATCAATAATAATAATATAATAATATAATAATACTAGCAATAGGTTTCGCGTCTTAGAGGAAATAGTAGCTCTAAGTTTTTGTAGAATTTTTTTAATCTATATACATACAATTCAGTGGCACAACTATGCTTTGGCAATACTTTACATCCTTAGTGAGCGTACGGAATTGCTTTAATACAACGTAAAAGAGAGAGAGAGAGAAATATATATACATACCTTGCTGTACCGACAGAATTATACACGCGCAATTTAACTGCTAATTTGTCTGAATAATACATAAGAGGCGAAGCCGCGGTGAGTAACGTTTTCGGAGTGGGTATTCCGTCGCGATATTGCCATATCAAGTATTAGCGAAACGTGTTTTGTTTATGGGATTTTTGTACTTAGATACGTCACACCGAGATTTGGTTCAACGAAGATCGATGGAATATTTAAGACTGAATTCATAGGGAAAACCACCACCCCACCCCCCATTGAGATCACCAATTCATTGTACACTAACATTAGCGATGTAATAGCGACAAAAAAGTGTCGATATCAGCCCTTTGATACCAAGCAAAATTGTGCTATTTGATAAAAAACGAGAGAAAATGAACACGTGGAAACCTGCAGCAAAGAAAGAACATAAGGTGTTTCTGACAAGACTACGCATACACGGGACTAGGTACTAAACTGTTACTCCAGTTTTACGACTAAATAATCAATAATCTAAACGAGCAATGTCACATTCACGTGTTCCTTGAAAGTCACGAAGTAAAAGTATCTGATACGTATTTACATTTTCTAGGACCGTAACGAAAGTGTATGTCTACTCTCCGCAGAAATGTCCTGCATCAATATCGTGACGTTCTTTAATATACATATATATATTAACATATATATATATATCGTAATATAATTATCACATGCCTCTTGTGCACTATAATCGCATTACATATTTGTATTAGAACCACCGCCGCGATTGAAATTTACATGATACGGAGGTGAAATCGGTATCGAGCCACTTGCTATCTCGCTGTATGATCAAATGTATCGTTAAATATCAGGCGCAATACGTTTGGTTCCGCGGATCGATCTTAGGATATTAGTTTATAACGAATTGATATGATTGATACTATTCTCGAAGCGAAACGAAGACGACGCGTTGGAAAGTATAAGACGGGCGCATTAAATAGTACTGCCAGTTAAAGGAAAGATCCAATCAATGCTCAACAACGTCTCCGATCTCGAGGAAGAAAACGCATCTTTTTTTTTCCTTCAAACACCCGCATCTAATGCGCGGTACAGGGATGGCATTATACACTTGGAAGCACGTTTCCTGTTACTCATCGCTGTGTGTATAGTATATCTTAAGAATAGGGACGCGCACTTGACAAGTTTAGCACAAGTTAAGTTTTGACGGAATGCAAGAAGTTGTCGTCCACGAGTTGGCGTAGAGCGTTGGAGGCGTCCTTCACCCGATCGGATGCGTTGCGCAATTGGCACACAGCCTCTTGTAACACCAGTTCACTTCTCAGCAACTGTCGATTGACACCCGACAATTCTTGTACGCCAGCTGTGATCGCACCCTCGGTCATCTGCAGAATATCCCTATCCAAGGTTTCATTGCATTCGTCTGTTCAAAAATTTAACGTATGTCAATTTTAATGATGTTCAAAATTAATAAGCATATATATGAATACAAATATATCGATTTTGCGTTCTAAGGTATAATTTAACGTCTTTCATAAACGCTGTTTTATAAGAACTTATAAGAGATTCTTTGTACAGTATAACTTAGAGATAAACAACACTGTAATTATGCGAATATGTCTGTGCAGTAAATGGAAGTTGAGTTAGATAGCGATATGGATAATCGGAAAATAAGTTATCGGTATTCCACACACCAACAGTCTCGTATAAATACTGTTTAGCTATAGTTACGCACATTGTACTGCTGTAATATTAATAAACGAATGTTAACAAAAGTAACTCCATCCGTCACGTTTTGTAGACACATTTTATTAAACACAAGACGGCCTGTAATACTTTGATACTCTTTCTCGTAGAAAAATTAATGCGAGTTAAGAAACGTGATTATACAGGGTGGTAAAAAACTAAGTGCCATAAGTTTGCGTGATGAAAAAAGGACGAATTCAATAAAACGTCGCTGACCCATGGTTCTTATACTTCAAGTGCTTGTGTTCGTCCCTGCTTTCATCGCACAAATTTGTGGCACTTAGTTTTTTTTATCACCCTGCGTGGGTAAACTCGAGCTAATACAATTATTTGATCCCTTACGTAGTTTTTTGTGGAGCAGACTATTGTACTTGATAGAACTTTTCTTGGATTTCGGTATCTTAAGGTCCATGTAGGGAGGACATGCCATGGCATCTACCGCTCCGCTGACACTACTCAAGCTTGTCAGGTCTGTAAATGTAAATTGAACGTTACTTGGACTCTTGCGTAAAGGAAAATCGACGTCGACGAAACTTACCATCGTCGGACTCTGGTGCCTCGCCCGAGATAATTGTGCCGCAATAGGTCGAAGGTGTCCGCACAGCGGGAAATCCTAGGCCCTGTGTACAGCGCAATTTGTAGACAATGCTATTCTATGGTTGCTCTCCTTTTACATGAAAACTCAGATAAATCTCACTTGTGACGTCATAACTCAGTTGAATGCAGGTCCCTTTGATTCTTGAGAAGTGAGACTCGACCAGATTTAACTGAGTTTTTGCACACGATCAAGACCGTGTGCTTTAGTGAGTTTAATAGACTCACATTAATGATGTCATATCTGAGTATAAAATACTCACACAACTGAGTGACTCAGTATCACTTGAGTGTAAAAGGAAAGCAGCTTATATCAGTCGCGGCAAACCCGTAACACTCATTGCCGGTGTACAAAATATAATACAGCGACATACATTACGTACAGTAACAATGTTCGACGCATCGTCATCAGACTCCGGGGCTTCTCCAGAAACAACTACGGCTTTCAAATCCATTTCTTGGCAAGTATGTAATATTTACAAGATTTTCATAACGCTGTAATAAAAAAAAGTATACAAGAATACATAAAAGTCTTGTGTGATATTTAGAGGAATTCAATTGTATAAAAATCAATTGTGTCGCAACGTGTGCTGTTTATTTAGCGCAATTTGTAAGATTTTATTGCTTCCTTTTCACCGCTATTGAAATTTATGAGATGACGTTCGATGCACAAACACTGTCGGTTTGAGGTTAGTTCTATTATTGAAAACGTGCACGTTTGTAGAATGTTATTTTTTGATTATCTTAATAAGAAAGCGATACTCCTGAGTCAAGGCGATACAAAATCCTTCACTTGTTAAATTCACCTGCGCAATTCGTTTCGAAAAATACTGCCGCAATTTCCCGCTGGATGTGTTCGAAAATGGATTTAGTTACTGCCAGTGAAAACAGTATAGTTGGTAGCAATGAAAATTACTGGTGCTGCGTTTTTCGCACGCCAGTAAAGTCAGTAAGGCTGGGTCTACATTTGGATGTCGTAAGTCGTGTCGGAAGGAATTGACCAATCATAGTTCGAATTGACCAATCACAAGTCGAATAATGAACTGTGATTGGTCAATTCCTTCCGACACGACTTACGACATCCAAATGTAGACCCAGCCTTA